AGATCTTCCACTCGACCTTCATCACTTTAAAATTTGCTACAGCTTGATAGTTTTTAGTAAATTTTATTACAATACCAACTTCCGGAAAATAACTATAAAGATCTTGTGGTATGAAATAAAAATCAACTCCATTAATTAATAAAAATGTGTTAACTGTTTCTATTAAAATAATTTACTAGGGAGAAAAGGGTGATATAAGAGACTTAACCAAAAGTGCCAGAATTAAAAAATTATGTACCGATTTTGTAGTAAGAAGAAATGAACTTAGTCAGTTTCACAAACTTGTATTATCACAATTAGAAATTATAACGCATAACCAGTGGATTGAAGAAGAATATGGTAAAGAACGTGCGGTAAGAGACATTATCGATGTACTTCTACAAGAAATAAAACTAAATGCACTTCGTAAGGTTTCTCATAGCTCAGAAAATTCTCTTGTAGAAATTATAGCGTGATTAATAGACACTGCTATGTGTCACCTGCCTATAAGCTATGAAATTAAGATTACAAGAGCCAAGTGCCAAAGCATAGCTAGTAAAAATTGTAAGGTTCAACAACAAAAAGGGTCAAGAGGAAATAAACTAGACCTTATGATTCGTATGTTTGTCCACAAAAAATGGGAAGAAATTGTGTATCTTAAGAGTGGGAAGTGGAACTGCAATGATGAAAAAATTCATGATGATCATAACAAATTAGTGCAATTCTGTTTAGACGGAACAGAAGAGCTTTTTAAAATTTGTAAAAAAGAATCTCTTAATAAAAATTATATAGGATTTGGTATTAACATTGCAGGTAAGTATATAGAAATACATGGGTTGATACACGAAAATGGTATCAAATATTACCTTCCTATTTTGCAGACAAAAATACCTTTTGAAGACGAATCAGTCGATGAAGTAGAAGAATTTGTACATGCTTTATTGATTTTACGAGTAAGTATTTATTGTTTATAAATATTTATATAACAAAGTTATTGATGCTAATACTTAATTTTTAGAATGAAATAATCATAAATGCGCAAGGTATTGTCAATTCAAAAAATATCTAGGAAGATTAACCCTTCCCATAGAAACTGGAAATTTAAAAAAGAATAATGCATTTTTAGAACATAATTATATTGTATATATATATATATATTCTTTTCTTATCATATCAATAAAGCTTGGCCCTGGTGACTGATTTTGTATATATAATCATGTTTACTTTTGTATGTATATTTTGTGAATTTATTTATTGTATTGATATCAATGTATATTACTCGCATATGATCGAGAGCAAATTTTTCTCTCCAAATTGGAATGCACATGTGATTTTTTTACTTGCTATTTTTTTTGTATAATTAATTTGAATGCATGATTATTTACCAGTACTATAAAGGTTTGGCCAGCATTATTTACATAAAAATTATGTAAAATTACGTAAAATTTCTAATTTGCATGTATCATAGCCACAAAAGTAGTATATATACTGCATATTTCTAAATCGTTCTAATTTATCTTTTCAAGATCAACACAAAAGCATACTATTCTTCTAGAGTAGGACATCGGCTCGGGTTGGTTTTCCAACCTTAACAGCTCATTGAATAGTATGCTTTTTTATTCTATATTTTACAAAAGGAATCTGGGTATGTAACGATTTTTTGGTTATTGTGTAATATTTATGTAACATCGAGGGATCGATCACAGAATAATCATAGAAATTTTATTAAATTCTTATGCATGATCGAGGAATGATCACAGAATGTCACAGTTTAATCAGCAGAAGATAACAATTCATCGATTTATGTGAGCAATTAGAATTGTGTGTAAGTTCATATGAAAGCAAATGACATTTAATGACCTGTTAAAATTAGGTAATTTATTTGTAACAATTATAGAATATATAATCTTGTATCTGAATGTGTAGTGGTCCCTGTTATAAAATAAAAGGCATATTTAGTTGTTTAAAATACTTTTCATTACTTCTAACAGACTTTTACTTATAATTCTAAAAATGTCTAAAGATTGGAATGATATCTGAACTCGGCTTCTAATTAATGAATAAAAAAATAGGAACGTGAAGTATCATGACCTTCGTAGGAGATATAGAAATGGATTTTGGGAAAGCATCACCATCAAAATTAATGAACAACATGGATCGAACTTTAATGGATATCACTGCAAAGAAAAATTTTTAACTTTTACCTAGGATTATAATGTAAGAGACTCTTATGCCTTGCATATACGAACTCCATCCACTTTTATTTGTTTTTGATGCTTTTGATCTGCATGAATTAACATCTGATAATTATTAAAAAAAAATAAAAGATGTGTTTATATTTGGTAGGAAATTGTGGAGGATAGAAAAGCTGAACTGGAGAGGGTTATTTCGAGGAATTCCAAACTCATTTTTGGAAAAAATCCAGTAAGTTGATTTATCTTTTATGCAAGAGTATCGCTTCTTTTTTTAATAACTTTACAAATACATGTTATGTTTAGTATCTCAATTTGATCGAAGACGGCAAGAAATTAAACAAAGTTGTTCTCCACTACCATCTCATGAGGAAACAATATCATCACTAAGTTGAGAGTCATCATTCTCTAGTCGAAGAAGCCAATCCACTTTTTCTATAAGGTCATTTTTTTGTAAAGAAGATAATAATAGGCGTTTCGTTGTTCTTTGGGGTAGGAAGAATAGGAATAGTAGAGGCTAAATTTTTATGTAATATGTCCATGCTACATATAGCATTTAACTTTTGTACTTCACTTGCCTATTTGAGGTAAAAAAAATAAATTACCATATATATGCATCTGAGAATTTTTTGCATGATTTTATTACTTAAGCATAAAGATAAATTTGTTATTCTAAAGAATTGTAAAAGCACATGACTTAATGGTCACATAAGACGTGAAATCAAAACTATTCATAATTTGTTTGTGTCTTGATAAAAAAAATTATGATAGATGTTTGATCAACATAGTACATAAATAACAAAGTATATATAAATTTGTAAATTGGGCTTAAATATATAGCATGTAAAATTATTACTATATCCCGTATAGCCAAATGCGCCTCTTGATAGATTATTTTTACAATGCATAATAATCCTAAATATAGAAAATGTACGATTGTTGGTCATGTTCTATAATTGTAATGCTGAATTTAGTATTTATTTTAATTGTTTGTTAACAATTACTGAATTATCATGTTAAATTATTATAACATGCGATTATTTGAACTATGTTAAATTATTATAACGACACATGATTGTCTTAAATTTAATATCAACTATACAATTATGCTATAGTTTTTAGTATAAATTCTCTAATAAATAGGACTGACTTTCGATATAGAGTTTGATTTAGTTGATATTTTTATTCTTCATATTTCTTATTTCATGCAATAAAAATATTTATATTGTTATCAAGACAGCTAATTACAATGCAAACACTAAATAATAAGTGAAAGGGAGAGGGCATCGCATCACAAAAGATTTTAATTATCAGAAAAAAATTATCCCACCATGCTTGTATAAATAGAAATAAAAAACAAAAGTGTGATTATAAACAAAATAAGGTTCTTTGTAAGCCAAAAGTTGCCAAGCCTATCATTAAAGATGATATTATCTTTGATCCATCTCAGGTATATATTTTTAAATTTAGTATACTCTTCTTATATTAGTTTTGTGTTGATAGAACTATTGTTTAAGCTAGTAGCCACGAGAATGTTGTAAAATTTAACAAGGGTCATATTCTTCATATGGAACTAGTAACATGAGGTTTTGGTGAAAGCAATAAGTTCAGTCCACAAAATGTTCTATCTAGAATCTTTATATCATTATTTCTTAAAATATATTAATTAATCTATTATATTTCAAACAATATAACTTGGTTTTTATTTATTAAAGCACCAGATGCAACATGCCACTCAGGGTTTGTGTACCTATGACAAGGTTTATTATTTTGAAAATATGTGAACAAGCATCTCTCTTTGCCTCTCTAATCATATATCTTCTAAACAAATAAAGACTCAAAAAAATATATCAGTTAATGATTTGTTAGTTGAAACTTTGATTAGAGAGACTAAATTAAGTAACCTTTTCAAACCAACTGAGGTTCCTTTAAAATTTCTTACATTGGTTGAAACATGCATTATCAGAAAGGAATGCGAAGCTGAATTATCTACTACTAGTACTAATAATTTGTTGTGGATCGATTTTGGATAGTAGTTAAATTTTAAGAAATCTATAAAACAAAGGCATGTATGACATTGTCTTAAATATAAATAGAGAAAGCTCCAACATGCCTTGAACTTGCAAAGTAAAAATTTCACTAACATGATTATTGAGAGTATTACTAGATGAAAAAAGACCAGATTAATTATGTCAGCATATGAAAATTTTCAATCTCTAAAGAATTTGGTCCAATTTCGTTATGTAGTTAGCCCAGAGTATATTACTGATTTGGATGGTCAAACTATAATATATTTAGAACAGCTAGATAATTACAATACTGTAATTCAAGCAATTAATGATATGGATTATTACTATTTTCATACTATAAATAATCCATCACATTGAAGTCATGAATTCTGGGCAAATTTAATTAAACATTTTGGAGCTTATGCATTATATAATATTCTCCTATATACTAGTTCTAATACAGCCAGTTTGCATAACTCCGATTATCAAATATGTATAAACAATTTACTTTAAAAGCTTAAATTGCTATCAGATAGTATTACCCAATTTTTTTAAGATTGTTATAAAAATCTTTACAAGAAGTTAAACAATTTATCTTGGGGACCTTTCGCATCTTGCCCATTTGGGGTTTTTCCTATGATTGCAATTAATTATAATAGTATAAGTGATTTTTACTAGAATGAACATAATGAACCTAATAAGCCTTTGTTGTCTCGTTGCTTTAGGCGATTTCAAGGATAGTAAGTTGTGTTTTCCACAACTACAAATTGTAGTAAAACTTAAACCAGGTCAGGTTGTAGCATTTTCTTCTCACCTTTTGCTTCATGATAATTTCCTAGTCACAAAAGGAATCTGATATAGCATAGTGTATTTCATACATAGTTTGTTTTTTTACTATTTACATAATTTCATATCAGTTTATAATGATTTTAAGGAAGGGATTGAGAGAAATGCTCGTGGATCAATTGTTTTTCTCATCAAGATCTTAATAATGCTCAAGGGTTAAATCAACAAACTCGATTTTTGAACCCAAAGGCAAATCAAATAAAAATACCACCTCTATTTTCAGACTGTAGGTGAGGTCATATTAGTTTGATGCATGCTAGGCATGGTTTGAAGGCAAAAGATTCACTTCCCAATTTATAAAGATAATAAAAATTAAAGTATATTTTACTATATTATAGATTTTTATAGCATATAGTTTAAAGCATTTATATAATAATTTTTTTTCTAGCAAATACTGTAAATACTTTTTAAAAAATGCATAAAAATGATTTTATCCTGAACTTGTTATTTGGATAATTTTAAAAACAAAGTTATTGAAATTTGTCATAAGATAGGAGTTATCGATAAAACTGTAAGAACTCAGATATACAAGAAACATCTACCTGGCATTATATCTGTTGTTTTGTAAATTAAAACTCTTAGAGCTAAAAAATTCGTAAGTTATTTAAAGAAAATAGTGTTGGATTTATCTAATAAATGAATAAACTCCACTTAGTTCCCGTAATAACGATCGTAATTCATATCGATTTACTTTTGATTGATAACCTGAGATAAATTAATTGATTCAATTATACTTGCCCAGAGCTAATATAATTCAAGAGATTACAAAGCCTTATTCTTACCATAAATAAAGCTCAATATTTTATATTACTCTTATTCATGACCCAAATAAAGTCAATAGCAATAGGTTAGTAAACTCAATTAAGTTCAAAAAAATAAAATTTCGATGGTATATGAGTTGTAAAACCAGACATTATATTGAAGTACTTTCCTATATTTGTAGTAGTTAACTCAAATAAAATGATACTCTGTATCTGATTTATCCTCTAAATCGCTTAATAAATTTTTACACTGCCTTCTCTATTTTTATTCCAGTTATAGTTAGCTTTTAATAAGAAAACCAGTCTTACAGCCCTGAATCATATACATGTCAACTGTCTATTCTAAATTTGTAGATCTGGAAGTACTGTTGAATGATTACAGTGCCAAATATAGTGATTTCATGTCAAATTATTTACAGCTAGATATGGTGTAATGACATAGCTATACGCATATATATATAAAACTCAATTTTTTAATAATTCATAAGCTAAATATTCCACCTTGCCTTCATGTTGATAAGATGATTGCTCGAGTTATTTGCATGGGTTTATGAAATTCAACAGAACCATGATAGTCCTATACTTTAATGAAGGTGTTTTGTCTGGTTCATGAGAATACACAACCTAATCATACCCTGCTTTTTCGTAATAAATCACTCGAAGCCAGATATAGATAGTTATCAATTTTTTAAAAGTATATCTTTTTTCGAGCTTGTGAGAAAAAAGTAGATATAGTCTTCTCAGATGTAGTTATAGTCTTTCGAGGTAGGCCCAGGATCTGACTATTACCTTCCTGCAATTTACTTCTTCTTCCAATAAGTTATACAAAAAATTTCATCTCTATTGAGTGATAGGGCCTCTGGCTTGGTTTTTTCATATTTACAAAAACCCAATTTTAGAGAACATGATCATCACTATAATTGTCTATGTAATAAAGAGAGGAAGACTGAATAAGCTTCCCATGGTTTAGTCCACTGAGCTATGAGATAAGAAATGGTTCGAATGTATCCACCTCACTTTTTATTTATTATACTTCTTTCTAGAATAGTCATACAAAAAATTTCATTTATAACTTTAGGCGATAGAGCCTCTGACTTAATATATTTAATCGTTATTCATTTATTATAATACTTCTCACAAAAATTGAATCTGGAATTAAGGAAGTATTAAGTTAATAAAATCTAATAGGTCTATAAACAATATAATCATTAAAAAAATTATAAGTCAAATAATCATTAAATATATCTAGTTTAGTTATTCCTATTGTTATTGACAAAAAAAATAGAAGATTACCCAAACCTTTTAATAACCATCCTGGGTATGATCTGAAATATGTAGAATTATATATTAACAAATATTGTGGTATTAATGATTATTAACGATTCTTTGATGAACTCTTTGAAACTGAAAGATGATATAATACACTATCAGTTATTAAACCATACGAAACTTCAGTACAGTGAGCTATTTGGGTTAGAGTTCCTTTACAAGAGCTAGTCTCTAAGAGAAAGAGGAGCGTTTATCATACACATGCTCTATTTCTAGCATTTGGTAAAGGTAAATTTGTAGATCATGATTACTACTGATCTAGAATTCATAAAACTCATATAGCAATTTGTCTTGATTGTTAGAAATTGATTCAAGTTAATGATGAAAAGCCAAAAAAAATATATGCTAATGCTATATATAGATATATTGAAAGACTTGAACTAGCAGATTTGATGAAGCAACATTGGGATTATTCATGTAGTAAAGCTAAAACTAGAGATGGCTCAGCAAGAATTATTTAAAATACTTGGAGACAATTCAAAGAAAGGGACCCATCAAATGTATGGCTTGTCTGGTTGAGTTTACTGAATGATAATACTCCTAAAGAAGAGAAATTTCTAGGTTTAACCCCTTACAAAGTGGAAAATCCAATCTCTTTAGATCAAATTAAAATGTGTTTTAATAAGAAATATGGTGAGTATATAAAAAAATATAATAGACTTCTATATATTGCTGAATTTGAAATTAGTAGATTGTACACTCTTCTGTAGTGGTTCATTAAACCACAATACTAATAAGTGATTAATAAAAGTCAAAAGACCAAAGAGGTCACCTTAATATCAAAAAAAAAAAAGAAATTAGTAAATATCAGGAATATATTATTCTATACGATTGGATAGGTAGAAAGAAAAACCAATTACAGAATAGATTTCAAGAGCATCTTTTAAAACTTGAAATATAAATAAAATTGATTTATTAATATAATATTTTTTGTAGATAGGTAGTTGTTCACCATTTTCCTAATGCTATTCTTGAGAGTGGAAGGCACATAAGTGCCATTGTTTTACAATAAGCCATGAGTTTCTGACTCATCACAATTTGGTATACATAAAGTGAATACAAATATATGAAGTGCATACTATAACACTATAGACTTTTTATTTTTGTGAAGCAGAACACGTATGTGGCTGATTTTTCAGGTTCAGAATTCATAGGCTTCGTAGATAATGCATTTTTTGTCTTATGCTTCTGACATAACTCTATTTCTTTCTGCAAATCTAATGGGATACTGAACTTCAACCAGATTGCAAGTGGATCATCCTCTGCTCTATTAAGGTTAAATACAATAAACTCACTCTTGTGAAGATAGCTATTAATGACCATTGATGCACTTTTTACATTATCGGTATATCAACTAACAATTTTGAAAACATTTTGAGGAGAACTACTACAGTTAAAGATTAATATATGAGAAAGATTCTTATGTATGATCATTGGGACATGATAGTATTTTTGCGTGATAAATATAGATAAAATATTCCAATGACGTCCATGTGTGAAAAATGGAATAATTCGATTTTTTGTATAGACTCAGTGACAACATATAAATTTTCAAAGATAATAACAGTACTTCTTTCGGAGGAGAAAGATTTTACACTAGAAATTTTTTCAGATGAGATATAACTAAACCTAATATTTTCATAATATGATGCTCTTGGATTACTTGCAATTATTCCATACATATATCTAATGAAAGCCCATTTTGGTTCATTAGGATGGTATCTACAAACTATCAAATCATCACACTGTATATATCTAGATCCACTCTTTTTCTTTTTATATATATATTTAGCTTTGTCACCAAGAACAAGATTTCCGAGTATATTAGTCTTACCTGTGCTACTTTTTCCTATAACTAGCTTAGCGAATAGCCATGACATTGCTGGATGCCCAATACAATGTGATAAAGCATGCTTTGTAGCCTTATCCATATTTATAAGAAAAAGTTTCATTAGAGGTAATCTTGTTTTTGAGTTTTTCTGCATGATGGATTGGAAATCCATAATTCTGTTTTCTATATACTGGATAAAAAATTTCTTTCCTCTAATAATTCACTTTACTTTATTCATTCATGGTCAGTTTAGGCACATTAGTGCTCTTACTCTGTGAGTATATTCTAGAAAACAAATTGTCGGAGGCAGTTATATGGTAACTATAATCTGGCTCTGAGTTCAAAGAATGAGAAGGCAAAAGTAAATAAAAAATATTCCTATATATATACCAAATAATTAATATTACTATTATTACAATAATGACAATTTTAATAAAAGAAGAAATCTGATACTTATTATTAACTAAAGCCTCGCTAGCACATACTGTCTCTTTTATTATAATATCTTGAATCAATAACTCCAGATTCTGCTTATTTGTAATATCTTGAATCAATGACTTCAGATTCTGCTTATTTGTAATATCTTGAATCAATGACTCCGAATTCTGATTATTTGTGATAATTGGTAATGTTTTACTTTTAAAATATTTTGCAAGACTTTTATGACTCAAAGAGTCATCCTTAAAGGGCCTGCAAAGCAATGATCCTTTGGGTTTAGATTTAAATATATCTCTAGAATTCGATATGAAACTTTGTTCCTTGCTTTGTATATTTTTTTCCTCACCTCCCATAACTATTGCAAAGCAATAAGTCTTCGACTTTACAGAATCTAATATATCCTTTGTTTTCTGTGAAACAGAGCATAAAGCATCTAAATACTTAATTTTTTTAATTTTTGAAGCTAATTTATCTTTTGTATTCATTAGTTCATTCTTTATATTCATTAATTCAGACTTGAGAGATATAATCTCAGATTCTTTTTTTACTATCTTTTTCTGAGTTGAGAATGCATCCTTCTGAGCTAATACTAACTTACTATTTAATATTTTGTTCATTAACTAGAGTAATTTTATTTTTTTCAATCAAATGATATCCTTGGCTCCTTATTTAGTATTGGAAATCTGTAATTGGTTAATTTGAGATATTAAAGTATCTAACTCTGAGCTCAATCGCTTAACCTTATTTATAAGCTAGTAGGTATGCTTGGAGAGTTTCTCTTTATCATTATTAGATTGTTTTAGATTATGTTGTATATACTTATTGTCTTTATTTAAGACAGAACATTTATTGGCAAGTTGATTGCCATACTTTATAGCAATTTCTCAATCTTGATTTGCACAAGCAAGCTGATTTTCAAGTTCCATTTAACTAGGCAAATATCGACTAGATGGTATGTCATCTAATTTACTGCCTTCACCTATATCTGATAATGTATAAATTTAAGGCATATGTGTTTTAACATTAGCTTTATTGCTATATCACTGAAATAAATATAAAAAATAAATATAATGTATTAAATAGAATATATATATTTATTAATGTGATAATTTTAATATATTAGATAGAATATATGTATTAATTAAATAATATAATCCTATATATTTGATGTATTCTATTTTTCTGATATATTTTATAATTTTTATTTTTTCGATATATTTTATTAGATAAAAAACAAAGTAATTACACTTATTAGTATAGTTAGAATACATATAAAATCTGATATGCCTTTGTTTTTAGCTGAAGATTATTCATATATAATGCAATGTCATAATATAAAGCCAAGATACAAAATTTTAAAGAAATTATTAGATAAATATAAAACATCGTCAAAACAGATTTATTAGATCTGGAAAGGAGAAGAAGATAATAGGGTCACTTGGGATCAACCTATACCTTAATCATATAAAATAAATAATATATCTAGCCACGAAGTATCAGACTTTAGCAATAATTCATCTAATATAAATATCTGTAAAGCTAGCCTCTCGACTAATGTGAACTACTCTGAAGTTTTACCAGATAAATCAGCAGAGATGGAACAACCAAAGATTCAAAGTTCTACTTCCTTATATGCAGTAAAAAAAAGTGCCTCTTCTATAGACAATACATTTAAGAGAAAGGCCGATCTTGAAAAATTAATGAAAGATACTAAAAGATTAGCTCCTATTCTTCTATCTTTGTTTCAGTAATTTGAGAACATTTTTCTGCAAGAACTTTATTTGCATTTAGAGCTATATTAAGCCACTCTTTAGTTTTTATAAGTCGCTTTTCAAGCTTTTCATATTTTTTTTTAAATCATCCTTACTAGTCAGGCTGGAAAAATCAGTAGATACTTGGATTGAATTATGTGAACCCTCTAGAATCTACTTCTCTTTTAATAGATCCTTAGCTACTAGAGCCTTGCTAAAAGTTGGAATAGTGTAAGTCTTTCCATGTAACTTCATTCAAAATTGATTTTTATTTGGATCAAGAATACCTTGAACTTTTTGAATCCATGTTATACCTAAACATAACATTGGTTTTGGTTCACCATTATTAATATAAGCAAAATTTCTAGTAGACGTAACAATCTTACTATCTTTGTCCTTTACACTAATTGGCACATCTGTATACCATCCTAATGATTCAAATATATGTTTGTAATTACCTTTTATAGCAAAGTCAGAAGGCTTATCAGCTTTTCATTCTAGGGTGTTAATTGTTGCATCATTCACTCCTCTGAATTCACTTGCACTATCTAAAAAGGAATTAGTGATCAATAGATCATTTATATTACAATGCAAGTATTGCAATGACGAAAACCATTCATCCGATTTTGATTCTTTTTCCTGGACTATATAAGACTGACACATTTTACACATTGCCGGTGAAAGCTTTGGTAATAGTTCATCATATGTTTCAGGCTGACTAAGTTCTGGAAGCATTTTTCATTTACCGGTACCTGTTTTTTTTTCTGACTAAGATGGAGCATGCCATCTATTCTCTTCCTCATTATATCCACCTTCTTTATCCTCATTATTATCCAAATCAGAAGATGCATATTGGGATTGGGAAGGTATTAGAAGAGGAAAGTATCAATATGTTAAATTTGATTTAGCTACAAGTTTTTTGGATTGATTTTCAAGCATCATCCTTCTGAATTGAGATGTCATTTAACTGATTTCATCTACTTTCGATTCTATTCTATCTATTCTAGCATTTTGATTTGATGAATATAATTGTCCTGAATAAGGTTTTTGAAAAGGCTTTATAAGAAAATTTCTGTCAAAATCTTCTGTACTAAATATATATATATATTTTTTTTTTTTTTTATAACCCTGATGCTCAGGTCAGGGGCGCGTGTGGCACTCTTTTATTAATAGTATATATTATTATCTGTAATGTAAATATTTACATATATTCTCTTTCTTTTTAGATGAAAATCTTTTTAAGCTAAACTGTAC